CTGCCTGGGAGGGAAGGTGACCACCCACAGGGGAAGAAGAGAGACTATGCTTGGATGGATCTCAACAGGATCCAAACACTAGCTTTACCAGTTTCCCAGGACACTTCCTCAGAGAACTCAGGTCTTCATGTTGAGGTAAAGTCTCTAACCACCTATTAACATGCAAATACCCTAGGTTTTGTGAACCATTAACTCCAGAATGTAAGTTTGTTCACCAGTCCCTTTTCTTCTGAGAAACAGCTGCTGAAAAAGTTTGAAAAGAGAGAGGGAGAGAGAATGTGGGAGGAGGCTATTTCTGAGGAAGCCAAGATCTTGTCAGGGTGAGGGGCTTAGACAACAAAGGGACATTTATCTCTGCACAGAGAGGAGAGGCCTGAGTTTAAATCCACCTACTCTGCAGTATGACCTTGGCAAGGCATGGCTTCTCTCTGGAGCTCAGTAAACTGGGGGAAAAGGACCGGATGCTCCTTATCAGATGCATCTTTTGCAAATATTTTCTCCTGGTCTGTGTATTGTCTTTGTGTCTGTTGCACTTTTTTTTTTTAAGAGCAGTTCTAAATGTTTTGTTTTGTTTTGTTTTGTTTTTTGAAACAGGATCTCACTATGTAGTTGAGACTGACCTGGAACTCACTATGTAGCCCAGGCTGGTCCCGAACTCACAGCAATCCTCCTGCCTCAGCCTCCCGAGTGCTGGGATTACAGGCATGAGCCACCATACCCGGCAGTCCTAAATTTAAATAGTCTATCTTGTCATACATTTCTTTCCTCTAGATTGTAGGTACTTTGGGTATTATATCTAAAAAGGCATCATTAACCAGACATGGTGATGCATGCCTATGATGCCAGCAGTTAGGAGGATGAAGCAGGAGGATCTCTGTGAGATCAAAACCTTCTTGGCTATATAGTGAGTTCAAGGCCAGCCTGAACTACCTAGTGACACCCTGACTCAAACAAAACAAAATTCATCTTTACACCCACTCTCCTGTTATCTTCTAAAAGTTTCATAAACTTTGAATTTTATATGTAGTCTGTAATTGATTTAGTTTCTGTAGAGAGTAAAACATACATGTTTAGATGGTTTTTTTTTTTTTTGGATTGTTGTGCGAGGTGGTGTACAGAGGGCCAGTGAAAATGTCTTTCTCAGTAGACAATGAATATTGAAAAGATAGTAGTTTATTTAGATCAGGGTATGCTGCTAACCGGGACAGTGGACAAGTTTCTAAGGAATCATGCAGTAGGGATGAGAGATTGGGCTTTTTATAAGGGTTTGAGGACACGGAGAAAGGGTCTAGGCAGCAAATGTGATTAAAGAATGTCTTTTCCTAGACAGTTAAGCACCTTGTAGATCTTCTGGGAGCACCTGTACTGTGTTTAATACTGAATTATGTTCACAGTTGCAACTTTGACAAGACCATTTCCTCAGGTCTTTAGCTTTATCTTTTAGAGACTCTTTGGAAGAAATGAATGGGGTTTACATCAAAAGGTTTGTTTCTGTTTGTTGCTGACCACCTACTGAGAGTGGATTTCTTTAACTGGAGTTGATATCTTAGATAACACCCGCCCCCAGCCAGGTTGCTCTTTGAGGCAACACTCAGAAAGATGGGGCCAGCTGGGCATGGTGGCACACACCTGAAATTCCAGCACTCTCTGGGGCTGAGCAAGACTGAAGATTCAAGCCCATCCTAGGCAATTTAGTGACTTATTGAGGCACTATCTCCAGAAGCCTGGGATGTAGCTCAGTGTCTGTCTGGAAAGCACAAGACCCTGAGTTCTATTCCTGGTAAATAATAATAATAATAATTTTGGGGGGGGTTGAGACGGGGTCTCACTAGGTAGTTGAGACTGACCTGGAACTCACTATGTAGCCCAGGCTGGGCTCGAACTCACAGCAATCCTCCTGCCTCAGCCTCCGGAGTGCTGGGATTATAGGGGTGCACCACCAAGCCCGGCAATAATAATAATTTTTAAAACTTAGGGAAAAAAAGACAGTGTCTCAAAAAAAAAAAATAAAATGCTGAGGATGTAGCTCAGTATAAAGGCTCTGGGTTCAATCTCCAGTACTGCCAGAAGGAAAAAAGTTGAAAAGAGTTGGTCATTGATACAGTGCCTGTCCCTCAGTTTGATGCCCAGTAAGAGAGAGAGAGAGAGAGAGAGAGAGAGAGAGAGAGAGAGAGAGAGAGAGAGAGAGAGTGATTTGGCTCAAAATTTTGGAGGTTTCTTTTGGGCCTATGGCCAGGCAGCACACCACAGCAGGACTAAATAGTTGAAGAAGCCCACATACCAGAAGCAAAGAAAGGAAAAGACTGGGACCCCACATTCCCTTCAGAGACACGCACCCAAATGACCCAATCTTCCCATCAGGGTTCATCTTTTAAAGAATTCCACCATCTTCTTCTAGCACTAAATTGAGGGCCAAACCTTTAGTACTCAGGCCTTTGGGGGTACTCCAGAGCCAATATATAATATAACAATAATACCAAAATCTGACCAAGAGAGAAAGAACTCAAAAGTATCAACTAGAAATTAAGTTACTCGATTCACATATGGTACTCTAACCCAATGGCGATTCTTCTATGCTTGATAAAAGAGGTGAGGAGATGAAAACAGTAGAAAGGACAAGAGCCTCTGTCCTGAGCAACTTTCATTACAATGCAGAAGACAGGATATACCAGCAAGAGACATATAAAATAGCAGGGCAGAAAGGAGATTTGACTTTGACTGGAATTGAAAACTGAGGAAAAAATTTTCAGGAAGTAATAATTATCGTTTATACAGCCAAAGTAATCCAAAAAGCTTTGATTTCAGACACATCTGTGTGGTAGCTGCAAGGCAGATCTGAATTATCAAGCAGTCATCAGATAAACGTAAGAAATCACTGAAGAACACTAGCTAAGAAAGGCAGGTGCGTATGTATGGTTTCAGTCATAGAATTGAAGTCACATTTGCATAACAAACAATACAGCTTCAAGGGAAACAGATACCAATATCAGGCTATGATGATAGCTTAGAACAAGGAGGGTTTGCAAATTGCACTAGATGTGAGAATAACACATAGGCGAGCCTGCGTGCATAGCTTGGTTCCTGTTCGCACAGTTCCTGGTCATAATGGAGTCTAACTCCAGCAACTTTTGGAAAGTACTGCAAAAATATACTTTCAAATACAGCCTTATAGCTTATCAAGTCATGTGAGCAATACATATTTCACCTAGCTCCTATGCCAAAATTCATCATGCCCTGCTATTTCAGTGGTTTTTCATTTTGTTTAGGGTTCAAAACAACCACATTAAAATATTTTAATTACAAACAGCAAAATGATACACAAAGTGATAACCTTTCTTGAGCCCATCAGAGTGCTGCAGTAGCAGGACAACAAATACCCTGAAACTGAAGGAGATTCAAGAGTTTCCAAGGAGAACTAGAATACGAGCCAGGGCTCATGAGCACCAGAGCATAGGAGGCAGACAGGACGGCCGTACAAATGGATTAGAAGAATTCAGCTAAGATTTTTAATAAATGGCTGACAGCCAGGTCTGGCTAAGAACTAGGATCTGATTCTACCAGGGGATTTCACACTCACTTATTGGGTTTTTTCCAGGTACTCCCACCGGTCTCTTGAAAGAATACTGGGCAGAGCCAGCCTAGAAAATGCCTTCCTGGGGGCACACACCTAGATCTCAGGAGCAGCTGCCATTGGTGGGAAGGGCTTGAACTCCTAAAGAACAAAACCTGAAAACCAGGGTAAGGGGCCAGGCACAGGCCCCTATATTGGTGGCGATAGCTAAAAATCTATTGTCTTTCTCTTGGTCAACTCGGTTGGCTAGGAGATTTTTAAACAATTTTTTTTTTTAAGAAATGAAAATAATCGAAAGAAGAGTGGCCAGGTGTGGTTTCTAATACAATTCCACTTCCCAAAGAACTCACACCCAGTTTTCTAGCTCTCCTTTCAAGACCAAAACTTCGGGTCACTTCTGCTTCTGCAGTCTTCCTTATCTATTCCTTGGAAGAAGTTGTCAGTCTTCTTTCTGAAACCCAGAGATTCATTCCTGAGCCAGGCATGATGGTGCACGCCTGTGATCCCAGCACTCTGGAAGGCTGTGGCAAGAGGATGCAAGTTTGAGCCCAGCCTGGGCAACCTAGCAAGACCCTTGTCTCAAAAAATAAAAAATACCAAAAAGTGCTGGGGATGTAGCTCAGTGCAAAGGCCTTGAGCTCAATCCCCAGTACCCAGTGAAAAAAATAAGTAAAAGCTTCGTCCCAGAGTTCTCCGAGTGGACAATGACCCTTTTGCTCTCAGCTCAGGAGCACTCAGAACCTTACTTCTTATGAGTGCCTCTGAGGAGCCCTAGGGTCAGGTGCATAAAATCTATCACTGCAGTTTGCAGGGTCAAGATGCTCTGCGGTTGCTCATCGTGCTTCATCAAGACTCGTCAGGGCTCCCTCTTGCTGCCCCTCTGACACTGTCCCTGTTACTGCCCAGCACAGTGTCGTTCCCTGGGCTTTCTGTCCTCAGTGAGCTTTTTGTTCTAACAGGGGTTTTCTACATGGGGACAGACTCCTCCAGGCTGGGAGTGTTATCAGAATAGGAAAAGGAAGAAGTGGCGGTTAGTAACGGGAAAAGTCTATTCAGCACCGATAAAATTTTATATTTGCAAACTCGACAAACCTCTTTTTAAATTGAAGATAAAAATGAAAGATAAAAAGTTTTGTTTATTCATAAAAGTATTGAAATGCACACTAAAGTGTTGAGAAACATGATCCTGTACATTTCTCCATCCTTCTAAATCATTTTACCAGCGGCGGTTCTTAACCAGCGTGATGCTGCCCCCAGGGGACATTTGCTTGTGTCCAGACACATTTCTGGTTGTTCCAACTGGAGGTGGTCGCTCCTGGCAACTGCGGAGTAGAGGCCAAAACGTTGTTAAACGCCTTCCAATGAACAGAACAGCCCCTCTACCAGAGAATTATCTGGCCTCAAATGTCAAGAATTCTGAGGATTGTACACGCTTCAGCAGCAAATATGCTAAAGTTGGAATGATTCAGAGAAGATTAGCACGGCCCCGTGCAAGGATGAAGGGCTAATTCGTGAAGCGTTCCATATTTTATAGCAAATAGTTTCTTTAATGTGAGAAACAAAGTGTAACTAAGGGCTAAAAGGTATAATGGATCCTGTGAAATAGGAAGAAAAGGGACAAAGAGGAAGGAGAAACAGGAGGGGTGGGGGAAAGGAAAGAAGGGAATGGAATATGGGGAAATGAAAAATAATGGAAACAAAATCTTTGTAGATTGGGAGGGAGGGGTTGAGGGGAGGGCAGAGGAATGCTGAAAAAATAAGAACCAAGATTGATTATGTAAAGGTACAAATTTCCAACAATGAATGTCTTTATATTGTATACATTAAATATACCAATAAATTTAAATTGTTTTGGGGGGTTACCAGGGATTGAACTCAGGGCCTTGTGCTTGTGAGGCAGGTGGCAGCACCACTCAGCTAAATCCCCGGCCCCCAATAAAATTAATTTTAAAAAAGAAAGAATTCTGAGGATTGCTGGGGATTTAGCTCAGTGGTGCCACCACCCGCCTTGCAAGCGCAAAGTCCTGAGTTCGATCCCTTGTACCAAAACAAGAATTCTTAGGACAAGAAACCCTGCTAGTAACTCCCACATTTTTAACTCCAGCCAACATTTTTCTACTAAACTCTATTAAAGTATATTTATTCATTTACCTAGTTACACATTACTACTTCCAGAAAAACTTTTTCTAAAGTAAAGTTTATTTATTCCTCCCAAACTAATACTTCTTTCCCTATAATGTACTAGATCAAAGTTCTTAAAGTTATTCTGGGTCCCTTGCTCTCCCTTATTATTCATATCCAAACAATAATCAAAGCCCCTCAAGCTGTTGCTCCTCCTTCTAGTTGTTAGCAGTATTAAACTGTGAGCAAGTAAATCTCTCCAAGCACCAGCTTTCTCCTTGTAACATAGTAATAACAAATACTAGTACAGCTATCTCCCAGGTGTGGGGAACAGGGAAAGTGGCTGTTACTGGAACCTCTGCAGAAAATCCTAGTCTCCCGAGAGCCATGACAGCACAAGGCAAGTTAATTGATATATAGACAGAAATAAGACTTCAATAAGAAGCTGAGCTTTGTTCTCATCAGTGCCACTCTGGGCAGCAAAGACCCCAGACCTGGGGCCGGGGATTTGGCTCAGTGGCTCTGCCGCCTGCCTTGCAAGCACAAGTTCCAGAGTTCAATCCCCAGTACCAAAAATAAAATAAAATAAATAAACTTCTTTTACTTTAAATTACAGATGTAAGATAGTTTGTCTCAGCAACAGGGAAGCTGACCAATACAGAAGGCATTGCTTGAGGGTCATGGCACACACCTCCAATCTCAGCACTCGGGAGGCTGAAGCAGGAGGATTATGTGCTAGAGACCAGCCTGGGTTACACAGCAAATTCAAGGCTGACCTGGCCCGAATAGTGGAACCATGTTTTTTTAAAACATCAAAATAAATATAAAAATAAAAAGAAGGCAAGGGCCAGGGATTTAGCTCAGTGGCATTGCACCTGCCTTGCAAGCTGAAGGTCCTGAGTTTGATTCCTTGTACTAAAAAAGATCAGAGAAATGTAAATTAAAATAAAACACTTAAAAACAAGAAAAAAGAAGGCAAATGTTTAATCACTTCATGAAAGAGGATATCCAAGTGGGCAAATAAGCACATGAAAAGATAGTAAGTCATCACTCGTCATGGAGATGTGCATCAAAAACATAAAGCCACTGAATGTCTGTCAGATTGGCTAAAGTTAAAAAATTGACAATATCAAGATATACCTCAATCTTTTTCTAAAAATTGCCAGATAGAGCAGATTGCTGCCCTAATCAAATCCTGTGACGAGGTCCCATTGCCTTCAGAATGACATTCAGCCACACCATCCAAATGGCTTACAGCAGCTGAAAGCCATTTGTCACTGCTAACCCCACCCCAATCTTATACTATGCTTGTTTTTGTTCACCAAATTAACCGTGTGGTTGCTTCATTTCCCCCGTGCTATTTTTCTGGGAACAGGCTGTCTTGCCAACTCTCACTCATTCTTCGAGATCAAACTCCCTCTCTACAAAGCCTTCTGTAAGACATGCATGGCTAAACTTTCCTTTGCAAGAGGAAAGGTCACCTAAGAGCTGCTGACTGTCTGAGGGCTACCCTGTCTCCACACAGACCTACCTCGCTTGGGAACACCAAGGATGCTGTGTCATATTTGGGCACCTTGACATGAGGATAATGTTGCAGATGGACTTGTTTTGTTTTTTCTGGGCTTAAAAATGCACACGGTTTGCTGCTGTTTACTGCCCTCTGCTGAAACAAAGTTGGCAGTATGAGTTTCTTCTGCAAAATAAAGGAACCATGTTTTCAAGAAAATGAAAGAAAAATCTGTGTTGTTTATCAGAAGTAATAGCCCACTGACGATCTAGGGGAGCAATAGTCAGTTGCAGAAGCATGAAAAACCTTAGGATAGGCTGGGGATTTAGCTCAGTGGTTCTGCTGTCTGCCTTGCAATCAATCACAAGGACCCACGTTTGATCCTTGGTACCAAAAACAACAACAACAGCAACAAAAACCTGGGGCTACCCTCGCTTTAAGCTCTTTGGCCTGCTCTTCTGTTTGAATGGCTCTTGATCTTTGCATGATTTTTTTTTTTTTTTTTTTTTTTTTTTTTTTTTTTTTTTATCAACGCGGGTCCTTGTGCTTTCGAGGCAGGCGGCAGGCAGCGGCGGAACCACTGAGCTAAATCCCTGGCCATGACTTCTTGATGTAGGAGAAATATAACCCCCAACCTGTTAGATGATGAATGTGCCAAGTCCTTGGTCCCACCAACATCAACAAATGAGTTTGTAAACCAAAGGAAGAAGTTAGGAGCATTTTATTGGAACTAAGGGGAAAAAGAATAACTCCTAGATTTCCAGGAGCAGTCTCAAATGGGCCACCGAGGCCCTTTGTCAGGGGTAATTTATACAGCAAAGGTACAACTTGGGTACAACATGGGTCAAACTACAATCAGCCTATAGGATTACAAGTATAGCTGCTTAGCCAATATTTATCCAATAGGGAAACAAGTCATATAGTAAGAATACATGGAAAGAACAAAGGAAAAAAAAAAAAAGCTCCTCATGACTGAAACCATCAGGAACAAAGATCAGTCTTCTCATGAGAATAGAGCTGTCCTTCAAGCCATGAGGATTCCAGAGCTATAAAACCAAGACTGAGATAATGAATAAACTGAATCCCAGCCCAACACCTAATTCTTAAAAGCTGGCCTCCCATCTGTGAGTGGGCCATTCTGATCCCCTTCACCAGTTCGGGCCCCAAAATCTGCTCAAACTGGGGTCCTTTCCTATTTTTCTTACTCTCTTTCTTAAGGGCTGGTCTGATCTTTGTCAGCTCCTCAAGCTAAAACCCTTACCATTTTCTCTTCCTAATTAAAGCTTTTTCCTATAAATTTGTGCTTTAGTTTTTAATTTCCATTATTACTAAAAGCTAGGACTTGTGCTAGCCAGTGACAGTAAGACACAGTGTTACTGGGTAGCTCTTTCTAAAAGTGGCTCACCAACTAAATATTACCAGGCTCTCGGTTGCACCCCTCTCCCTCTGTAGACAAATTCTCGGTTCTTATCATCTTAAATAAAGAATTGAACAAAATGAGCAAAAAGCAGTGGCTTTTTATTCAAGAAAGTAAAAGTGAAGAGTGAGGGAGAAACTGGCTCTGCAAGGTGAGGTTGGGCTGAATAAAAGGAGAAAAAGCAATAAAAGGGCACCTTGGAGAAAGCAGGGCAGGCTACAGTGAAAAAAGTCACAATAGCAAGTTCTTCTTGGCATCTGTGTTTTTGTACTATGCACATCTCAAGGAAACCACACAAGAACTTCCGCACCCAGGTCCTGAGGGGAGGTACTGGGATTCCACACCTCAGGCTGACAACAGGTCTAGCAATCTATTAAAAACCTGCTGGGACGGGGTTTTAGCTCAGTGGTTCCACTGCATGCCTAGCAAGCACAAGGTCCCGCGTTCAATCCGCGGTACCAAAAAAAACAAAAAACAAAAAAACACCTGCTCATGTTTTTAATGAAGAAGCCACATGCAGGGCTTTGGGAACTATTGTGCCCATGTGTCCAAAACCTTGTAATTAACAGGTCACATCTATACCCCCCCAGCTTTGACAAGCCCTAATCTCCTGTCTCAATAGTATTTTACTTTTTTCTTTGGTACTGGGAAATGAACTTGGGACCTTGCACTTTGCAAGGCAGGTGCTAAATCCCTGGCCCAGCAGGTATATTACTTTTAAAGGAAAGAAGCCAGGCATGGTGGCGCACGCCTTTAATCCCAGCGCTGGGGAGGCTGAGGAAGGAGGATTGGATATTTGTGAGTTTGAGACCAGCCTGGGCTACATAGTGAGGTCCAGGTCGGTCTCAACTACGTAGTGAGACCCTGTCTCAAACAAAACAAAACAAAACAAAACTTTTAAAGGAAAGGGAAATGGCAGGGTATGGTAGTGTACATTTGTAATCCCATCTCTCTGAAAGGCTGAGGCAGGAGGATTGCAAGTTTAAGCCCAGCATAGACAACTGAACGACTTAACAAAACCCTGTCTCAAAAAATAAAAAGGGCTGGGAATGTAGCTCAGTGAGGAGTCCATGATTTGAATCCCCAGTACTACAATCAATCAATCAATAAATCAATAATTAATAACTAAATTCTAAGGGCCGGGGATTTAGCTCAGTAGTTCTACAGCCTGCCTCGAAAGCCAAGGTCCAGAGTTTGATTCCCCGGTACCAAAACAAGCAAACAAACACAGTAACGAAACAAATTCTATAAATTACCAAAGAAAAAGATGATTGGTGCAGAGAAGCTACCCTAACACTAAGCTGTAGGTCACTAAACTACATGTGACTGATTTGGGCATAAAGTGGTTGGCCATTTGTGACAGTTGCTCAGCTGCAACCTCCAAGGTTACAATTTAGATGTCCCCATGAAGTTTCATGATCATAGGTAGGACTCTGGATGGTGATTGGATTAGAGGGGGCCATTGTAGCTGATTGCTGTTCAGAGT